TTCTCCGGCTGGATACTTGGCCTTTTTGTCCATTTTTCCGGCTGGAACGGTCCCCGGCCCTGCTCTCTTCTCCCTCTCTCCCTCTCCCTCTCTCCCTCTCTGTCCTCGACTCTCCCTCGCTCTGAACCCCCGGCCTGTGCCAGCTTCTCGGCGTGGCTGCCCTCCAGCTTCCAGCGGGGCCAATACCGTTGGAAAAGCCCATCCCGCTCCTCGGGGACTGCCTCCTTGATGGCAGTCAGCACCTCCTCGATGTGCTTCCGCTTTTCAGGTGTCACCTGCTGAAACCAAGCCCCTTTGACGTAGGGCTTACCCTCCACGACCTTGGTAAGCACCTGATTGATCAACCACAAAATCCATGCTGATGTCTGCAGCACCTGATACGTGGCTCTATCGTCGGCCGTGCTCTTCCGCCGGCTTGTTCGTCTCGTTGTGCTGCACACCACCTCCTTGGGTTTAGACGAATGGGCCTCCTTGGGCTCATGTGTCCTCATTCTTTTTGGCGGTGGCATCACCGACATCGCCTCTGCTGGCGGTCCCTCTGGCGCCTCCCCCGCCTCCGGCACATTCGGCATCTTGCTCATGCTCTCCTTCTGGCGAAACAACCTGCTGATCTGCTGATTCAATTCGTCGATCGTCGTCAACAGGCGTCACCTTGCCCCATGGATATATCCTGCACAGTTTTGATTGTCAGATCGCTGAGCACCTGAGTCTCCGAAGGAGGACTCCCCATTCCTCCTCCAATAGACCCAAGCACAGATGCATCCGGCATGTCTAGACTAAGTGCAAAGGGGGATGACGACATCACAACACTGAGCTTCAATAGCTGCAGTCGGGCAACTCCTCCTCTGTGCTCTCCTCTCTCCTCGTCTCTGCTCTCTTCTCTCCTCTCTCCCTCTCAGCCCAGTCCCATATCATCTGAGCCGGTGGCGCTTCACGAAGGATCCGTGGGCGATCAGGCCAGAAGGGACGGCAAAGGCCCGCCTGCAGGGCTCTTGTGGGGATGCCAACCCCTCAAGCAGCGCCGCGTTCGTAGAACCGAGGCCGAGGCATGACCTTCTCGACATTCGGTACCTGCCAGACGCCGAGGCCAATGCCAGTTGCAGGGTGCGTTCGTTGCCAAGGGCACGGAGATGCCAAGCTGCAGAAGCGGAGCAGCCGAGAGAAAAGGCGTCCTGAGAGTGCACAGCTTCTGAAAACGACACCACGGCACTAACCCTTCGTGGATCCCTCTCGTCTTTTCGTAGAAATGTCTGGCCTGCCACAACTGCAAAGGGTGATGTCGCAGCTGACCCCAACAAGGCCCAACGTAGGAACTAGCCACGGCAACTTCTTTCGCAAGTGCACGACCTTATGCCGCCTCCAATTCTAACTTCTTTCTGGAAAAAGGACGCGTCTCCGATGTAGGGTGCCGGATGCCGTCAGCTATGTCGAGGCATGGGGCGTGCCATGCATTGAATGAGGATTTACTGTCTGCTCGATTTCGAAACGAAATCCGGGCATTCCTTCTCCACCCAGCCTACCGACTCGTGCCAAAGCGACGTGGAATTCCCTTTACCGACCTCTGCAGCCGGAAGAAACCACGTTCTGCCCAGTCTCAGCTGCACAGATTCGAGCGGATCACCCTGCCAGGTCAGTGCTGCAGCATTTCAAAAATGCCAAGTTCCGAAGCCCGGACATGCTGATGCAGCGAGTTTAAATAAGGGCCATGTTACCCAGCTTTGTGAGGGCATTGCAAGGGTTGCAAAGGCTGTGCTCGCGCATGAAACCGATCTCAAGCTCAACTCAGCCACGACGTCTCCCACGACCTCCTGCGCAGGTCCGAGTTGTGGCAATGGCATCACAAAAGCACAACAGCGACCCGAGGTCCTTGCATTCCTGGTTTTGCTGCTCGATTTGAATGATCTTCTCTAAGACGGACAAGGGGACCATCTTGAAGCAGAATTTGCTTCCGGACTGTAGCCATGGATAGCAAAGGCAGTCTGCTGCGGACGGTCTTCGGGCTGCATCACCTTGGAGTATCTAACCAAGGGAGAAGGAATGAAGACGAGAGCTGAACCGAACAGAAACGGTCTGACATTGCTTATGCCAGGGTTCTCTCCAGCATTCGTGAGCACAGTGCCTCTGCCTGTGCTGAAGCGTGGCGGACAAGAGCCCAATCTGGGCTGCTCGCCTTCGGCCGGAAAGTCTCCCCAAAGAATGCATCACCCGGGACGTGCCCTGTAAGCAGCAGGTAGAGCAAGCAGCCGCAGCACCAGACGTCGTGCTTCCTTCGCCGACTACGTGAGCACTACAGCAACGTGTGCTTCGAGCCTAATACTCCAACTGCCGCCATGCTTCGGGCTGCAAAGCTCTTCGACATCTGAACGCGGTGCGATCAGTTCGGACACCGGTTGCGAACTCCGGGAAAGCCTTCCAGAAAGTCGCAAAGTATACCGCAGTGAGGGAGAAGGCAGCGTGCCGGCGACACCAAGCCCTGAAATCACCACCTCGGCGTGGCAGCTACAACCAGCTCGGCAGCGGCACCACGATGCGGCCGAGCGGCGTGGGGCGCGCAGGCGGCGTCCGAGACAGAGGCGAGGCCTACGGTCTCCAGGCCGATATCGCCGTGCACGAGGCTGTGAGGCTTTAGCTGATGACAGTAGCTCAAGGTCTCCAAGATCTGCTTGAAGACCTGATCACCAAATGCTCGCAGAATCTCGCAGAAATGCACCGTGTGAAACTGCACAGCACGAAGAAGAGTTCGCCGGGCAGCCTGTGCGAGCCAGCCCTCAGAAATTCCAGTCCGCATGTCCAAGCGCGTCTGCATGAAATGCAGAAGTCGCACGTTGTCCACTATTTCGGAAATTATGTAGATGTCATTGAAGTCCTGCATGTGGCACGGGGTAGCCGGTAGCAGCGGCAAGTTCTTGGAACCAAAAACCATAAGCTCAGGGAAGCATGTACTAGGCTGTAGGATGACCCTGTTGGAACAGAACCTCGCTCAACCTCTCACAGTTCCCAATTATGCTTTTCCGACCGCTTCATCCTGCTAACTTAATGACAAGCTCATATCCGATGGCCGGCTTTTGTGGTTGCAAGCATTCAACCTGATGCCATGCTGCATCTGCTTCTGGTCATGTCTATGTCGCAGCTGCAAGTCAACAAACACTCGGTACGACGGCCTGAATTGCTAACTCCTATACTGCCATCTGCCCATACTGCCTCAAAGCTTTCAACCACGCGCGGAAGATGCGGATGCTCCAGGCTTCTCAACACTTCCACTTCGACTCGAAGCTGGTCCTGCTGAAGTTTCAAGCGCAAAGCTCCACTCATGGGGTCACTTCAAAAAAGATGCCTAGGGCCTACATCTGCAGCCAGGATTCTGCTGGGCACGCCAGCTGACTCTTGCGTGTCTGGCTGCACAATCGGTCTTCGAAGCTCAAGCCTTGGTCGGGACAAGCAGGAGGGGCTGTCCCGAGCCAAACGTCACAACGTCACAGACCAAGACTAATGGAAGTGCTCAGCAACGACTCCGGCAGCGATAGTGTTTTGCAAAGGTCGAGCTGGAGAGGTGTCGAAAATTGTCATAACCTGAACTGCCACACTGACCACAAGGTCAGTGGCATCTCACAAGGGCTGCAACACGCAAACTATGTACTTCTGAACTTTCACACAGAAACGATCATGCACTCGCTTGGCGCCAGATCGGACAGTTCGAAGATTCCGCACATACTTGGACGGCGCAAAATGATCCCGAAGCATTCGGCATGCTGCAACTGCAAGATCAGTGACTTCCGCATGCAAGATCGAATCTCCGGAGCCAGACAACCCATACCTGGCCAACAGAAATTTCCACCAGCCCTGATATGCTTCTTCGTCACCAAGATGTTCTGTCCAAAGCGGTTCATCTTTTGCCTGGCCTGAGCTTGATATAGAACGAGCTACGGCGCTTGCAAGATTCTGCACCGGTCGGAGGATCACCAAATCGTCCCACAGAGTCTCTGCTTGTCTGGCGATCTCCTTTCCGACCTGCTCTGCAACATGTGGCTCGGAGATAGGCACGCGAAACAACTCGAACAGCGTCGCTTGGATATGGGATTCACCTGCAGGCCCCTGGACGTCTGAGCTTATCGGCCCAACACTCCGAGGAGCAATCTCGGGGCTAGGCGGCAGCACTACGCATGCAGCACCGGGCGATAGGGTCCGGTGCTTGTTCGAAGAGGTATGGAGAATCTTGGCTGAGCCAAACTGCGGTGGGGAGCTGTTGTCGTTGCCGAGGAAAGACGACGTCAAGCTCTGGCGGGAATCCAGACCTGACCAACTGCCATTCCTTCCGTCACCTGGTGGCTCAGGTGTGCGTGCCATTGGTGAGAGTGGAGCTGCCGATGGCCCAGTCGAAAGGAACGGATCAGGGCACGGAGCTGCTTGTCCAATCAGCTTGCAGGAGCCACTCACTACTGGAAGACTTTGCAAGCTGCCACTGGGAGTCCGAGTCTCAGATTGTGGGTCTGAGATGCCTGATCCTGCCGGCTGAATTATGGGAGATGCTGCAGCGCAGGCAGCAGCACGCGCATTCTCTGCAAGCTCAGTCTTGCAGCAGGCCCCTTGCATTGGCGGCCCACCTACAATGCGAACAGGAGTGCCGCGGCTGGAGGCATCTGGATGCTTCGACAACTTGGGAGTTCCCAAGAGGACCGGACTGCCTTGGGTAGAATTCACGCATGCCTCCTGGACTCGCATTGGGCTGCCGCGGCGGGACCCATCCAACAGCACACAGCGCACAGGGCTGCAGACACTAGCCTGCTGCGCCTTCTTGTCAGAGCCTCGGCTTCTCTCCATCGAAGCGATAGGGCTTCCACTGGCCGTCTGGCTCGTCTGTGTCGGGCCAGCTGCGCAAGGGTGAGATGCCGCCTTCGGGTAGCCGAGATTTTGCTTGACCGGCATCATATCCATCTGTCGGACGACGGGGATGATGGGGCCAGCCTTCGACCTAAAACACATGTCAAGACAACGTTGTTCTGCTATCGACAAAGCATCACGCATAGTTGCAACCTGAGGTTCGCCCCATGTGCTGCATGCGGACACTGCAGCGGTGCAGCGTTCGAGGTACGCGAAGGACTCAAGGATGCAACTCGAGGGCTCAACCTGTGCAGCAAACATCAGCATGGAGAACCGCAGGGCAGCACGTGCTTTTCCGCCCCCTGCAGTGCAATGAAGCTTCTTTTCTCTAACAATTCGGAAAGCACCTTTGTCGTCGAATAAGCTCTACGTGTCCTCTGTGTTGCAGGGTCCACAGACACATCCTCCACGTGTCGAACAGTGAGCACAAGCAACACCCGTGGCTTGTCAGAGTGATTCTCCGTTCCACAGTGCAACACTCGACTGTCATACACCACGGCATCCCCTTCTTGCAACAAGGCAATTCGTGACACTGCCTTATTGAGAAAAGAGGTCTTGTCTGCTGAGAATTGCCGGTGGGCCGCCTGTCGGTTCGTTTGCAGCAGGAACCGTGTGGGTCCCATGTTCTCGGTCACATCCTGCAAGGCCACGAATGTCGTGAATAAAGCTGGGGAGGGTGATCCAGTGTCGCAATGCAAGCGCTGAGGAATAGCATCGGGCATAGCAACCTCAGTCAGCATCCTGTGCCTTGAACTGTATTTGACTATTTGTGCTTCGTATAAACATGGGAACACTATGCTCGAACCAGGCCGGCAACCATGGCTGTGAACTCCCAGAGCCTTGCATCAGAACCTGCCAGGGTCACGAGCGTACTGCCCACCTGACCATGGAGCACTTCCATGAGGGCGGTTTCGGTGATGTTTGTACGTGGCAACTGCAGCTCGAACCGGGTCTCCAGTGCAGTCTTTGATGCACGGGTTTCCCGTATGTCCCGCGAAAACAAGGTGTACTTCTGCGTCGGGTCATCTTCCACGGTTCTGCAGGCTTTAGACAGCTCTCCCAACACGAAAGCACGGAGGCGCTGACATGTTTTTTGCGACAAGGCGTCTTGAATAGATGCAACTCCTTCTTGCTGAACTGCACGAACGCTCTCCGAGCTTGGTGCCAGAGCAACTGCGGGTCCCAGCATGAGTTGCTGAGCAGCTGCCTCATTCGCAGCGGCTGCAACTCCATCCATCACAGCCTCGGAAAGCTCCGCCGCGTCCTGGGTCTGTTCACCTTCTGGCACCATGGCCGCATTCCATGGGAGAAGGGGGCGGTCAATGCTGAAGGTCGGTTCACTTATCCGATTCTTTCTGCGTCGAGGGGGTATCCTCCGGATGCGCACACTTGCAAAAGGCAGCTGCAGCGTCATCCCGCAGATGATCAAGATGCAAACCAAAACGGCATCCTTCTTCATCGCTGAGGTACCCTGATGCACAAAGGCATCTCACACCATGTCCCTATCACCACTTTGGACGATTCGGGAGATTAGCCTGGAGCCTCGCAAGCCTCTACGACAGCGACCATGGCAGCTACCGTGACATGTGGCATTGGACCTCTCAGTTTGGGCGCAACGAATGGCAGTGTGTCTGTAGGCGCTGGCAGTGTACCACGTGATGCATGAGGCTCCAGACTGACCAAGCCTTTGATGGCTAGCACCAGGAGGTAGGGCCGCTCCAGGAAAAGCAATGCCAACCGCTGGCCGCCTGGCTGGGCCCGAACTGCACAAACAATGCATTAATCCTAAGCCTAAGATTCCCCCCAGCCTGGGTGCTGGGGCATTCGTGGGCTGCACGGTCTGCACCGCAGCTCGCATCACACACTGCACCTGCATTGCAAAGTTCATGCGGCGTGGAAGCGCCAGATTTGTTATTGTCACTGAGGCGCAGGTTGCACCACACTCTGGGTGTGAGGTAGAGCTCTGGAGCCGGGAGAGGCAGCTCTCACCGAAGGGGCATGTGGCCCCACTGGGAGGCTCATGCTCCAAGCAGCGGTGCGCTGTGGCGACACTGATCGAGCTGTGAAGGTGCCGACGGTTGCCCGCATGGGCACGGGGCTTGCTGCGGCACCTGCGTTCTGACCGCATCCAGGGCTTGAAGCACAAGACGAGATGCAACTGTCTTGGTCTGAGGGCCCAGCGCGAGTTGGCGGTCAACAACTGGACGCTGCCTGTGGACAAAGCACCTGATTAGGGCACCAGCAAGAAGTCGAAGAAGGATCAATCGGCTCATCTCCAGTGTGTTCGGGGGACGCACTGCTGGCCACTGCCGCCATGGACGGTACCGGATGAAAGCGCGGGCTATCCCGCGAAGTGACCTGCGGACCTCAGGAACTCCAAATTGCCCTCAAGGACATGTGGTTGAGGCCTGCGCAGAGCATGCCGTGACTGCAGTAGTTCAAAGAGCCCCCCATACGACTGAAAGAGACTATCACACACAGGGGGAAGCGACCCCAGGGATTTCAATCGAAGAGTGCAGTTCCCCCTCCCTGGTCTGTCTGCATCTAGACTCACAGACACGGGACGGAAGGCTGCGATGGAACACTGTTTTGCATCTTCTATTTTGCACTGCACCGATGCCATCACTGAGTCGATAAACTGTAGAGCCTCTTGTCTGAGGTCTGCCAAACGGCATGTGCAGGAAGCTGGCAAGTCACGAAGATCCGCTGGGCGCTCAGCAAATCGGTGAGGACCACTGGAAAAGTTTCTCAGAGCGGCCAGAGTCAATCCGGGCACCGCAGAAGGATTTCTTCGCGGAATGGCTTTCAACGCCACAGGCATATCCCAGTACGTCCCTGTGGCTACACAGAACAACTTGCCCTCCGGCACGGCCGCTGCAAAATCTTGAAAGGCCTTCTTCGCCTCTTGGAGCTTCTCACTGGGCTGATCGCTTAGATGCTGAGCCACAGCTCGCACTCGCTGTACACGTGCGTTCCACGGAAGAGGGCCGTTGCTAGTCGACAGCGCGTGCAGGCAAACGAGCATGTCAATCACTCTGATCAGGTACCACTCTGAGACAGCCAATCGCGTTTGCCCAACACTTCTGCACCCCTTCTTCCCATAGTCCACATCAGGCTTTGCTGGCATCCAGTTCGTTAGAGGCAGCAAATTTTCCTTCAATGCTGCCGTGAGACCACGCACACGTTCCCGCCCAGTGACAGAGTCTGGATCAACCCCGTGCTCAACATGAACCGGCTTCCCCAGTTCGACCAACACGGCTGAGTTAAACTGGCAATGCGCTTCGAAGCAGAGATGAAGCGGAACAAGCACCACTTCATACTCGCTGCATCGCGCAGCCTGCAAAGCGATTCTTGCAGCTCCTGTGTGAACCTTGCGTATGTACGGATTTAGCTCTCGAGACCCGCCGACAGCTATCCAAAGAGCATGGCCGTTGTCCAAGCATTCAACCATTCTCGTGAATGGCAGCCCTTGGACGACGTGCAGGCACATCTCCACATCGTTTGTATACCTCAAGCATTGCAAGACTTCCCGGAACTGACAGACATCTGGATATGACTCGTGACATGACTCTTGGTCCGCGCTCGTCTCTAGTGAAAGGGGCCCATTGTCTTGCGAGGGAACCCTCTCTGTCTTTTTATCTTGTTTGCTCAGTCGCATTTGCAGTCATGCCTCCGTAAATCTTGCTTTCAAAGGGCCTGAGGTGCGGAAGATGTAGCTTGGCACTCATCCTACGTAGCGATATCACCAAACCACCAGTAAACTTTGTACCAGTAGCGAGCAAAATCTTCAACACCTTTCTTCTGACTTCGCGGTGCGAGAACCAGTTCTGCGTCAAACAGAAGCAAGGACGGGGTGAGATGTGCTGAATCAGAAGTCGGTCGAGCAGGCCGGTCGGGTGGTTGGAACAGAAGATCAGTCGCTGATTTCCTGCCACTTTCAGGACCCTGTGCGGGTCGTCGACCGTCACCTCGCGGAAGAAGAGCTTGAACAGGAGGTAGCTCACAATCCTATGGTACAGGTGCCAACCAGCCACGCGACCTGTCCACCTTTCCACAAGCCAGCATATGACTTCAAGAACGAGCAAGGCCAGCGCGACTGCATGGTCAAGTGCCTCAGTATCCAGTTGCAACAGGCCAAACTCTGAATGAAACGGAGGCGAATCAAGAACCTGATCCGACTGGACCTGACATACCCCCACTTGCTTTGCAGAGATGGTGACCTCTAGATTGCGCCGACCTGCCCACAAAGTCCACAGCTTCTGCCGTGGAGAGAATTCTTCGGAGGGCCGAGGCCTTGGCCTGGAACCAGACATGTGTAGGGTTGGCCTCGGGCCTCGATTCGATGCCTGGCTTTTGCTTCGAGAAGCCTCGAGCCGAAAAGCGCCAGGCACAACTTCCGGAGCTGGGTGGGGGTCTTTGTTGAGCCTTTTCGCAAAAGCCGGGGCTCAAGCTTCTGGCGCTGCAGTTGGGCGTTGGCGACAGCACCCTCCGAAGCGCATCACACATCCAGTACGCATGACTGTCTTTCATAGTGGCTTGCGTTGCCTTCGCGAGGGCAACGTAAGGCGCACACCTCACGTCAGGCGATGCGGTGAGACATGGTTTAAGCTCAACCGATCTCAATCGTAGACATTGTGCGACGTGTGTTCGGGGTTCGATCACTGATCCCGAGAAAACGGCCTGCCATGGCTGCTCCGGCCATTTGGGCGAGGGAGGCCTTGCATCAAGGACCCCCGGTCACGTTGTTGCGCAAGACACCATGGAGCACTGCGTGGCACTGCACCTGAGCGTGGAGGACGGCCACAACTCTAGAGCCTGGCAGCAGTTCCTTTCATTCGCGGTGGCATGCAATCAATACATGCTCCCTGCCTCCATCTCCTGCCTGACGTGGCGAAACGTTTTGCATGTGGCCTGGGGCAGATTTTCAACTGGGAGTGCCTCCTCACTCCCGACACAGGACGACAGTTTGGCAAAGCAGCTTGGCAACATCATCTCGCGCATTTTAACTGCAGATTCGTTCACGGAAGCTCGGAAACTGCAGTATAGATTTGCCGCAGCACTGCGCTGGCACCCGGATCAGGTGGACGTGAAGCACCAGAGTCTGTCGCAGCTTGCACGGCAATGTTGGCATTGGCCACGGCTCTCCAAATCCGTTCGCATTCACTTCTGAAGTTGTGCTGCTGGCTCGCCAGCTGCTGTTCGAGCATCACCCGCTGCTCTGTGAGCTTTCTGTCATTCTCCAAGTCACTGTCAGCGATTTTCTCCTCCAGCAAAGCGATCCGACTCCGCCTGATTGGCACAGGACGGTTGCTCTTGACCATAGTACAAACAAAAAGTATATTTGCAAGGTCACAAAGTAGCACAGCCAAGTGTCAGCTGAGAAAGCTCTTCGGAATGTCGATCAACCCCATTTAGGCTTTTGGACACGTTGCTGGCTTCTGCTGTCGGTTCGGACCGATCACCTCCCGAAGCGACGCTCACAGTTCCCCCTTCGAAGACTAACGCAAAAAGCTCCTCGGATTCGCCTCGAAGCTGAATGACAGAGGCCTCCGCAGCCGCTTGTGCGATCCGAGCCGTGGCCAAAGCTCCTCGGAGCTCGGCAACTTCCTGCAGAAGCTCCGACTCCCGCGCCTGACAAGGAAGCAGATTCTGTACTCAGCGCTACCCGGTGCCCTTCGCAACAGTTCTTCGCCCAGTGCTTTGCTGGCGCGTGCTTTCCGACTTTCATCGAAGCAGCATTGGAAGCTGATGCTTATTTACATCCAGCTTGCATGCTTCACAAGTACGGGTCATTAACTCAATTCTCAGCTGCTGTAGCCCTGCGAAACATGAATTTGCCCGGCGCCGGCTTCGAAGCGTCAGATGTACAGCTAAGGTCAACCTAGCAGGTTGGCTAAGTCATCATCATCGATGTCGGACTCCTCACCTGTGGAGCCCGACTGAACTTCGGGCAAAGCATCCTCGGAAAACTCGGGGACTGCTCTTTCAACCTCGTGTGCCGCTTCGTGTGTTTGAGACCTCTGTGAGAAAGGGATGTTCTCCACAATCTCTTCTGCCAAGCTTTCTGAAGCGGGTTTGGAGAAGGGCTGCGTGACCACTGTGGGCAAGTCCACCTCACGTGCAGTAAACTCTGCCCGAGGGCCGTCAAACACCTGAGATGACTCGTCAAAGCTGCCACTGCTCTCGGGAATCGCTTGCGCTGATGTCGCATAGGCATGCTGGGCACCATCGCCCTCGTAGCCAATCATGACGTCTTGAGGCTCTTGCTTGATCGCGGCAGATTCAGCCACGGGCATCTGTGTCACGAACTCGTTCTTGCGCTGTACTAAATCACCTTTAGCCAGCAACTCTTCGACAGAACGTTGCAACGAACAGCGCTTCCACAGGCACTGCACAGCTTCCCGCATGACGTGTTTTTGACAACGCTCTGCAACACGGACCAGAAGGGATGCTCTCAAGAGCGTCATTGGCTGGACCTGAACCAGACTTCCAGATTCCCACAACAGTGCCGCAAGCTTGATGATCTCGTCCACGCGGGATTGGTCATCAGACAAAGATCTGACAAAGTCTTCGTCAGAGGTCGCGGTCGCGTTTGTTTGCATTCTGGGATTTCCGTCCTCATGCTTCGAGTCTGCAAGCAAACCTGGGCTTAACGAGTTTTCTCCCAGTGGCGATCTCGAATAATCCTCTGCCTGTGTTGCAACCGCAGAATTTGCTGCAAACGCATCTTCTCGTTCTTTCTGCCTGACCACAGCCGCTGGCCAGGCTGTCGGCATCTCCAGCCCCTGCAGATTCTGCAGGTTGGTAGCCGGTGCCGAGACATTTTGCAGCGTTAAGACAACCTTGGTTTGCAGTTCATCGAAGCGCTTTCGTCGAACATATGTTTCCCAGCGCCGCAAGGCAAAGCGGAGCTGCAAACCCACGACAGAGGCCAACGCTTGCACGCCAGCGCCGCAGGAGTCAGACGAGTGCCGGCTTTCGGTGCTGCCTAGCGGTAGCGGCCTAGCCACGTGTAGCAAAGGTCTGGAAACCTGCGGTCTATTGTCCCGGGGCAAAGCTGTGGGTGAAGCATCTCTCGACGGCTCATCGGAAGCAGCTGCAGACCTGACTGGACTGGCGATCTCATCGAGTTTATGCAGGACTTGCTGCTGCCTGCGCTTTGCCCACTGGTTGTAAATCTTCCCAACTTGAATCGCCAAGTATGAATAATTCTTTGTCGATGACATGAGGCCGATCCATGTCCGCAGAATGCAATAATCCCCCCACAAATCGTTTACAACCTCAAAATAAATACTCTTCGGGGCATGTTGATCAAAACTCCATAACAACATCTGAAAGTTTGTCGGTACACAGTGTCGCTGGGAAGTTCACAATCAACCACAATGCAAAAGAGCCCGAGGCTGCCGTTGAAAAAGCTGCTTCAACCTGCACGACTCAGCATTCGACTGCCTGGGTGCGACCTACTGACATAAACAAACTTAATGGTCCACATTCCGTCACGGGAAGTTTGGGCAAGGAGGATCTGTTGCCATGTCTGTGCCACTTCGTTCCGATTGACCCTGCCGCAAATACACCCCATCGCCTGATAGGTGAAAAGGCTTTCTTGATGTGTCTCTGCGACCGACACGTGCCTGCCTCGAAATGTGTCCGCAAAGCTGCCAGCTCATCCTGTGGATCACATTGAGTCTCTAGCCGTCCTTCATATGCACTAGTCAGCAGTACACGTTCAAGCCACAATGATGCAGTCTGATGCGGCCTTCATGGCTGAAGAATCAGAAGCGCAAGCTCTTTGAACACTCATTGGTGATGTGGGCTCGGATGTCGAAGCCTGATCACAGGCTCGTCCGCACTGTCCTTCAGCCAAAAATCTTTGGATGAGCAACCGGTGAAAAGAACGATGTCGATGTACAGTCTTGACGAGATGGTGCCGTATCCTTGGCCCCAACAAAATGCAAAACAGACTCTTGAGAACACTGCCAGCAAGTGGACGCACAAATACATCAAAGCCAAGGCTCCTGTTGTAATAGGCTAGGTTTCAGGGCCTGGGCAAGGGCCAAGGCGCTCACTGTTGATGTTGTTGGTGCGGAACCTCGTCCTCGACCTGTTTTAAGGAGACATCTTCAAATGATCACATCTTCCAGGAAATCTGGCCTGCAGTCGCCGACGGGTTGTGGACCTGCCGATCAACGTACAACACCATCCGAAAAAGCAGTTTTTTTCGCGCTGGGTGCACCTCGCGGCGACTGCATGTTGCGGAGGAAGAACGCCGACCTTTCGATGCGACAGCGCGAAATCCCTTGTTCATGCAACGCCTCCCAGTGGGACCTGCCACAGATCGACTGCTCCGGCCGAATGCTTGATCAGTTGGAGTCGGAAGTTGCTTCCCACCCTTCGCAGATGTGTATGGACGGGGTGCCTGACGGACAACCACCCCATGTCCGGCTCAGAAAATCTTTAGAGTTCTACACCAAATCAAAATCGACTGTGTTCAGCTTCCTTCTTGTCCGCACCAAATGGCACAGGATCTGCTAAAGCTTTGCCAGCCTGACACAATCGGAATTCAATGCAGTCATTCAGTAGGTGCCAGCGAAATGAATTTGCCGGGGCCTTCTTCGCGGAGGCGCATGGCTTGAATGCATTCATGGGAACACATGGCTGAAACGCTCTCGTGCTGGGTTGATGTCGTCGCGATTGTTCGGGCTCGGTTCAGCAGCAATTAATTTTTTTGCGGTTATTGAGTGCTGCTGTATCGGCACACCAGCACACCAGTCGTCAGGGCCGGGATTGCATAAAGCTTTGTGACCGGACTCGTTTACAAGGTTTTTTACAAAGCAGCTGTGGTTTTCTAACTTGTGTCGAATGTGGTGTCATACATGAAAACTGCCATAAACCTTTTATTCCTGCCACTGGACGTGAATAATCTCGGCCACTTACGCGAACACTCTTTCATGGTCCTGGCATTGCTGTTGCAAACGCGCGCCTTGTTCAGGGGCCTGCCGGATGTGATGAACGCATCCATGCTTCACATCACATGTTGGCCCGCCTCGTTGTCCGCAGAACGGACTCACCATGGAGGCTTGCTGCGTCAGAACATGTCTGCTGCGATTCCTGCTTTGCTGCATATAATGTACCGTGTAGTGAAGGATGCCAATCCAACATGTCAAATCTTTTCGGGTTGGGAGAGGATGCTCTGTTGCTGCTTCAGGCCTAGCAAAGCAGCCAGGTCCATGGATGGGAATTCTAAAGAATTGTATGCTGCCCCGTTTGCATTTGCCGTTGCCCTTGCGCCATGAAGAGAAGCAAACCATCGCACTGTGCAACACAAGAAGTGAAAAGAGTTCGCCGTGCAATTCTGTTTATGATATGTTTGCAAATACCGATCGCTGGTTTCGTTTCCGCACATGCATATTGTTGCTGCATTTGCCAAGCATGCCTCATTTGGAACATGATGAGATGCCCATCGTGTTATGGTGAATCCTTCACCATCTGTCCGATGCCATCCAACTATCGAACGTAACCTGCGTCTTGCAACGCGTGAAAGCAGCTGCGACAATGGGAAACAATGACGGGAAATCGCGACATGCGTCCTGCAATGTCTTGCACTTAGCACGCTACCGGAACAGCGGAGCCGCTGCGTTTGTTTGCGTTTGGGGCGACCCACGCCATGTCTTGACGGTGCCCCTGTCTCGTGCGATCATGCGTGGCACTGGCAGAACTCGCATCTCTCGTTTTCTTCGTTTTGTTTGTCCGCTTATGATTTTCCGTCTCGCTCTGCCGAGGCTGCCACGTGATCACGGCTAACCAGTTCCGAGCAAGGACGGCGAACAGAGTGTGTACACGGCATGCGTTGGCATGCTCTGTGGTTTGTTTATGTGTGACTGCTCGCAGGGGCTTTGGAATTATTGCAAAAATTTTAGGAACCATCGGCACATTTTTGGGAACTGTATACAGCAGTGTCCCTGAATAGTTGGAACCCGTTCCGAACCGTCAGAACTGTTTCGATGCATCCTGGCACACCTCATGCCAAGAGATCCTGAGATCCGAATTAACGTTCTGATGGCCACTGCATGCACGACACAATTTAATACCGATCCAAAAGCCCAGGCTGCTCCTATACAAGCCCGACCAACTAGCAAACTGCGCTTCAGTTCGTGCTACATAAGCTGCCCAAGTTTTTCCGGACCCTTTTCTCCGCAAAGAGGTCCGGTCGTGAAATTGCTAATTATTGGCCAGGGATGTGGCCAGCGGGTAGACGCATACGGCGACCATGCCGTCGCCTGCCCGCGAACAGGGTTGCTGCCGCGCCGCGCAAAAATCGTTGAGCGCGCCT